CGATGACGATGGATGAGGAGAATAGGGTGGCTTTGCAGATGGTGGAGGAATTGCTTTATAGTTGCTGATTGAGGTAATATTGGAGTGTCATCTGTGTTATTTAGAATAATAATAATCATAATAATATAATGATAATATTAATAATAATAATTAATAGTCTTGGAGATATTTGCAAAGCTAAAAGGAAAAAAAAAAAAAGAAAAAAAAAAAAGAAAAAAAAAAAAGAAAAAAAATGAGGGATTAATGATGTAATGATCTGAAGAACAGTGAGGATGAATGGTCTTCATGGAGTTGGTAATTGTATTTAATAATGTAAATAACATTAAGTGGTCATTACATATGCCAAGGGAGATTTTGCTGAATCTCATATTTGGACAATTGTATACAGCTTCTAATTAGTTCTACTGCTTGTATGAAAAGTGAAAAAATAAGACTGCCTTAATCTATAAGTATCAGCTATAGGAGTTACCCATAGATTGGAGTTGTTATTCAAATCGAACTATTCACAAAAACGGTTCGATCCGGCTCATTAAAGGTTGATTTCGGTTTGTTCTTTTAATTAAATGAGAAGATCTGAACGAACTAATTGAGTTAGTTTATTAAACGAGCCGAGCCGATCTTGTTCGCAAGTAGCTGACGTTTCATTTTATTTGAATTTTACACATAACGTTTGAGCCGAACTTGTTCACGGAAATGGACATTTTGTGTTCGTCAACAACCGGTTAGGTATATTAAACGAATCGAGACAAGCCAAATTTTCATGAACTTAAATGAGTCGAGTATATTGTTTGTTTACTAAACAAGGTACGCTGAGCCGGCTCATTTAGTAAACGAGCACAAACTGATCAAACATAAGCTACTCGACTCGGCTCAAATAACATCTTTCCGTATATTAATTCTAAAGTATAGATCACCATAATCAATTTAAACATGAAAAAGAAGATATTAGTAACGATAATAATGCTGATGAATTCTTATTTTTTATTTTTTTTCTTTCTTTATATATGCGAGACAAGATTCAAGAAATGCGAACTTTGATGCTAAAATTGTTGGGCTTTTATGAACAAAAGGAAACGTACCGAGGAAGGTAGTTGTTAGACAAGTATGTTGACTTGGTGACAATGAAGATTATGAAGACGTTGACTAATTATTTTTATTTTTATTTTTAATATTTAATTTTTTCCCACATCACGAACGCAAACATCAGTTTATATATTTTCCAGTTTTCTGAGTGATATTTTTTTTTTTTTTTTTTTATCCTAACATTTACATAGACTTTATTTTATACACTAAAAAACTTCTTTTTTTTTTTTACAATCTCACAATTGACGAAACTATATGCAATATAAAAATCGCATATCCACATAAACTGCGTAATTAACAATTCTAGGAGATTTTGTCGTATGTATACCAACTCATATTCAAATCGGACGTATAGTTAATAATTATGCGAAACACATTCGCATATTCGTCAATCATATCAAAATTCACTGCATAATTTTTATATGTGAAATGATTTCGCTTACATAGTAACTAGTGTGGTGCCCGTGTGATGCACATGATATTATGAAGGTAAGCATTTGTGAGGTGAGAGAGAGAAAGATAAAGATGAGTTTAGGGTTGGACCCACTGAGAGGGAGAGATGTGCGTGAGAGGGGAGAGAGAGAGATAAAGAGAGATAAGTTTTAGGTTGGGCCCACTATTGTGTGTGAAAAATTACTACGTTATCTTCAATTTAGCCATTAGATTTATCCGAACTAATGACTGTAATTTATTTTTATTTTTTCAATAAGAATCATTTTCAGCGGAGCGCATCCCTATATATATAATTAAATATGAGTATTTTATAAAATTTTCCATTACCAAATAGTTTATATCATTTTCAGCGGAGCGCATCCCTATATATATAATTAAATATGAGTATTTTATAAAATTTTCCATTACCAAATAGTTTATAGAAATTTTAGGTGATTTCACATTTTCAAGGATAATATAAAATATTTCAGATACTTTTACATAAGTTTATATAATGTTTAAGATGTTTTTAATGTTTTAAACATTTATGTTTTATACTTTTTTTTTATACAAGATAATTTTATATTTTATAAAACAAAATTACGTATGATAAATTAATAAGTTATCCCATGTTAACCCCAAATAGTTAATTTATAACAATTATTTAATATTGTTTATTTAATTATTTAAACATGTTATACAAAACAATTTGGGTTGTTGAACACATGCGCCTGTAGCTCAGTGGATAGAGCGTCTGTTTCCTAAGCAGAAGGTCGTAGGTTCGACCCCTACCTGGCGCGATTTAAAAGACTTTTTTTTCAACTATGATGCTCTTTGTTTTGACGACTTTTTCAATTTATTTATTTATTTATTTTTTATTTTTTTATTTTTTTTTTTATATAAACTTTGCTCTTGTCTGACTTTCATTATACTTTCGTTTTCGCTTTTGTTTCGGACTTCTCCCTTAGAAACATTTTATAAAACCTTATTTTAATATAATTATTTATATTTGTACATCTCATTATCTAAAAAAAAAAATACAAAATAAAAAAAAAATCATGTGTTATAAATTAAAATAGGATTGGTCCCCACAACCGAGTCAATGACATCTAAACACAATCAATATAACAAAAAATAATTGTCTATATTATCATGCGATTTAAAACAAAATAATATATGTCATATTTATATATATCAAGGTTCTGAAAACCAGACTGGACCGGCCTGTTCAACTGATTGGGACCATGAACCGACCTTTATTCTGGTTCGATTTACTACATCAAAACCATCCAACACTCAAACCAGTCGAAAACCGTTTGAACCGGTCTAAAACCAGTTGAACTGGTGAACTGGAACCAGTTTAAATGGTTAACAAGTCCAAACTTTTGAATTTGAAACTTGTTGATTATGAAGTGGTTTAAATAACACACATTTTTACTTGTGTTTTTCCAATGTGAGATATGTTTAAGGGTTTATAACATCTATCTTAACTAATGGACATGCTACAGTTACAACATTGCGAAACTTGAGAAGAGAATCAATTTATTGGTACATGAATCAGACTTGTTCTATATACATGGATGCCTAAAAACCTAAGGGGTATACCTCGAGGGATAAGATCAAGTCGAGAGGGATTGCCTGCTCGAGGAGAATTTTCTGGGTTGCCCAACATCAGGGTACCCGACAATAAGGCCTAATTGTACTCATCCCAGTCAACCTCCCTTCAAGGGGAACTATCTGCATCATGAGTAAGATTTTTTCTACTCGAGAGCAGGCCAAAAACCAATTATTTGTACAAAGTCAGAGGCACTCGAACCTGCATAAATCAAACTATCAAGTGTATCTGGAGAAGAATTTAGTAGGCATTTTAAGAAAAAATCATAATAAGTATACTATTAAGTGAAAAATACTCGCGATCAATCAGAGATCACGAGGAACAAAAGGAGAATTCTTAGAGCCTAACCCAACTCGTCTGGACACACCTAAAGTCGACTTACCAGGAGCAACTAGCATATGGATAGAGCCTCAAGTTTAAGTCTGACTCGCGAGAAACGACTATTGAAGCGACTTTATAAACCAATTAGTCATGTGAAAAGGTTGTCAAGAATTGACCACGAACAACGATTTGGGAACGAAAACCGTAGGCACGAGCAAATCGAGGATACAAGTGAAATCCCTATAACAGTTCCTAAGTCAATTTGCGAGTAACATACTATTCAAGCAAGGAAGGCATATTGAGGATTTGACACCAAATAGTTACCATGACTTATATGAAAAATATGAAGAACATTCATATGACATTCAACTCAGTAACTATTTGATTGTATATGACTCACTATATTGATGGATAAAATATAATAAATAATGTAATATTTGTAATTTTGAGAGATCATGACCAATTAATTTGCTAAAAAGATTAAATTTATTATTACAATTGCTTTTGCGAATTTAAAGAATTTTACCATTACATTAAAAGAAGTTAATTTATTTAAAAAGACAATCGATTAATCAGATAAAAAATATAATATTTATTTAGAATAAATAACTTGAACAAAAGTTTTACAATATATGTTTTTTTTTTTATGTTTATGTAACTTTTGTATATCATATTGTATAACATAATTATTAATTTTAATAATATCTATTATATGATACAATAAAAAATATAAATATTGTCAATATATAAAATGTAATAATTATTGTTTTAATTGACATAATCAATTTTTTCGAAAGTTAGGTGCCACTAAGTATAATTTATGATGTAAAATTTAGACATAAAATAAAAAATTTAATAATTAATTTTTTCTTTTGTCTTCTGTTTTTGTGTTTAATATAGTCATATATATAAAGGAATCAAAATAAACTAGTAAAACGCCCGTGTATTACACGGGTGTTTGCTAATTTTTTCTTAAAATCTAAAATTAATGAGAAAAAGTAATTGAAAATTTAAATACCTTTTATAAATATATATATATTATTATATATTTAATGACATTTTTTTATTTGTGCGACTTACTTGTGTTAAGTTATAATAATTTTTGAAGTTACAACATATAACTAAATCAAACATAAATATATCAATTGAGAAATAATTTTATTTTTCTAATGAATGTTAATAAAATTATTATTTTTTATCATTATAAAGATAATATAATTTATTTATTTTATATATACAATATGGATGTCAAATCGAAGATCATCCAAAGATGATTAATTTGATATATTATATATGTAAAACTGATAAGAAATACAAAACTTATCAACTTTTAAAATACATTTACAATTAAATAACTAATTGAAGGAAACAAATCAAAAGTCATGATATATTAGTCACTTAATGTCTCACTATGTAAAATTAAAAAGAATTAAAGGGTTATATTAGTAGATATTAAAATACCTAAGTTAGCTATTTAACATTTATGGAATGTTTGAACCTAGATTATTAATTATTAATATATCAATATTATTTGTCCAAACCTAATTACGAAGCATGATTCTTTGTCAAGTAAGATTCCGAAGCACCAGAAGCAGACATGTAGACTCAGCGCATTTGAGAATAATATATAGGGAGGATTTAAATAATACTCGTATCATTTAAAATATATTTATTTTTTTCATGTACTTACTTGTGATATCATTAATTATTATTATTTTCTTGTAGTTACCTTTTAAATCTTAAATCTCCCACTATTTGCTTATATACATTTAGATGTGTGACTAAATGAATTCCCACCTAGAGAAGTAACAATTTTGGAGTGTGAAAAGTTTGCCGTGTAGGTAAAATTTATTAAGTAAAATTGAATGAAATGCTAGCAAGTATATGTATATATATATTTTTCGAAACGATTGATTTTATAAATCAAAAACACATGATTACAACTAGACAACAATTAGAATAAGCCAAACAATTATCTAATAGAATCTAGGTAGGAACTCGACCAGACCTAGAGAACTACTCTAACTCATCCACAATTGTTACGTTTATACCGAAACCAAAGGGTGTAATTCACGCATTGGTTCAAGGGCAAAACAGTCAACCAGAAACTTCACATCACTATTAAACAAGTTTCCTTCGCCCAAACCCTATCTTCCGACCCTCTACAAATATCTTCTTTCTCTTTTCACTTTCAGTTGTTATTTGCCTAACAATTTTCTCTGCAGAATTCCGGAACCCTAGCCCTAAATCTACGTCAAAACCTCTCCTCGCGTCTTCAGATTCAGCAGGTGAACGGAGATCCTTTACCGATTTATCTTACTTTTGCTATTTCTGTGCAATTGAATTGAGTTTACAAACGCGTTCGTCGTTTGAATTTGAAAACTCGAAAAACTGAATTTTGTTTTCTCGATCTGTTATCGTTAGCAGCACTAACAAATGGGTGAGACAAAGGAGAACGATGCCTACGAAGAAGAGCTCCTCGACTACGATGAGGAAGAAGAAAAAGCCCCCGACTCAGTCGGAGCTAAAGCTAACGGCGAATCCGTCAAGAAGTGAGTTAATTTGCTACTTCCCATTTTAATTGTATAATTTTCCAGTTACTTGTGGTGTGTGTGCGTGCGTGTGTGTAAAATTTTGAAGTTTTCCCCTATTCCTTGCGAAGATTTGTGTTTTGAATTATGGATCTTGTTCGTTTTTTATTGTCTTTGATTTGTTTTTGTTGAAGTGCTGTACTTGTACATACTTACATATATTTATGCAAATATTGATGACGTATTGTGATACTTCTGGGATTTGTCCATAGATTACCTTAGACTTTTAGGTCAGTGTGCTCAGTGCTGTGTATTCAATTGTCACATTAAGTTGAATTCCAAGATATGGGAAATGTTCCTTTTTATTTTTAAAATATAGATCTGTTGCTTTCCATTAGATTTGGTTTATTGTAAGCAACGACTCAGGTGAACCATTGTTTTGTTCTTGTAGGGGTTATGTTGGTATACACAGTTCCGGATTCAGAGACTTCCTCTTAAAGCCCGAGCTTTTACGTGCTATTGTGGACTCCGGATTTGAACATCCATCAGAAGGCAAGCATTTACACACACCCATATATATATTTCTTTGCGTGTTGTGTGTCTGCCAGTTGTGGATTTCAACTCAAAATCTGTGGAGAAAGTGAAGAAAGTTGTCTTTAAAAAAGTGTGAGAGATTTGGGATTGTGGATAATATAATATAAAAATGTAGTAAATCAAGTCGATAAAATAAATAAATTGTACAATATAGTGATTGATAGTTAGAAGTATGTGAGTGAATGAATAATATTTTCTTTTTTATTTTTGTTTGTTGAAAGATGTATAATAACAACTCTTTTGATTTTTTAAATGTTTTAGTGGAACTGCAGAAACTAACGTGAGATGAAATGAATGGTTTTTTTTTTCATGTCTTGTTTCATCGGATAAACCTCGTTTAACTAAACAAAATTGAAAATGTTTTGTAACCTATTGTGGCTTAAATTTTACCTTTTTATTAATAGAATCATTTTACTATATTATCACATGGTATTTGTTATTTGTTGATTATCTGCGCCATCTAGCTTAATTTTGTAATTTAACAAAGTTCTTTTCTTTAATTTTATTTATGCTATCCTTCCCATAGAAATTACGAGGGTTTAAATTTTGGCATCATTACTTATGCTATATTTGCAGCTTATGTGACCATCAACTCTCCTTTTCTCTCTTTTTTTGAGTTATCTTCGTTCTTAGCATTAGTGTTTTGATATATTTTCACGTGATATGGGCCATATGTGCTCCAGTTTTTTTTTGTTTTGTGTGGTTGTTTACTATCTTGCTTCTTTTAGAATTCAAATAAATAAGTCATTTATTATAGACTTACATCAGTTGTCTGTAATTTTTCTCAGGTAAATCATTATCTCATACACTTCATTGGAGAAGTTGAATGGTAAAAACTTTTTTAATTGAAACTGAGGCTTCCTTCGGTGAATTTATATGGTTCTTCATTAGTTCAACATGAGTGCATACCTCAAGCTATTCTGGGAATGGACGTCATCTGCCAAGCAAAATCTGGTATGGGGAAGACAGCTGTGTTTGTTCTTTCAACACTGCAGCAGATTGAACCTGTAGCAGGACAAGTTGCAGCCCTTGTTCTGTGCCATACAAGAGAATTAGCTTACCAGGCATGTACTATTCATGTATATTCAGATTTCAGAACATGCACTTGCTCTTTACATTTCTCTTTGTGACCCTCCAGTTATTTTACTCATGCACGTCTTTGCATGCTATTTGCTGTTTGCAGATCTGCCACGAATTTGAAAGGTTCAGCACATACTTGCCAGATATTAAAGTCGCTGTTTTCTATGGGGGTGTCAACGTTAAAATCCACAAAGATCTTTTAAAGAATGAATGCCCTCACATTGTTGTTGGAACACCTGGGAGGATACTTGCTCTGGCAAGAGACAAGGAACTGTCGCTCAGGAACGTGAGGCATTTCATTCTGGACGAGTGTGATAAGATGCTCGAATCGCTTGGTAAGCCATGTCAACAGAGCATCTCTTTCATGACGGCCACCTATTTAACTATGTTATATGTTTGCTGACTATGCTTTTTGTCCTTTTCTTTTTCTAACCCTAGATATGAGGAGGGACGTGCAGGAGATCTTCAAAATGACCCCACATGACAAGCAAGTTATGATGTTTTCTGCTACCCTCAGCAAGGAAATTCGACCTGTCTGCAAGAAATTCATGCAAGATGTAATGTCCTGTAGCCAGTCCTTGAATGTTAGAAGTCTGCCTTGTTTCCATTGTTCCCAATTTTTGATGGCGGCACTTGTCAAGAATGCAGTTGTTGATGCACTGTGTACTTGCCTTGTTACGTGTTCATCTTTTCAACGGATGAAAGTGATCGCTCAACTCAAAGGTTCAGTGGTTGGGG